AATTAAAAATTTAAAACCATAAAAAAATTAAAAAAGTTAAAATAATTTAAAACACAAAATAATTAAAAAACTGAAAGACATTTTAATATAAAAAAGTGTATGAAACTAATAGCATTGCATCAATAATATCCAAAATATCAATATATCGTTAATAGCCGAAACTGAAAACTCCGAAATACAATGATTCACACAACCACTTTTTTAAATTTTCAAAAGAAAATATTTTTTCTATATAATCTGTTATTCCAGATAACTGCAAGTCCTTACCAAAGTGCGACGAACACAGAAATAACCAAAAATGATAAGTGTTCTAAATAAATGATGAAACAAAAGTGACAGAACTCCGAACAAAAGTTCCAGTTGAACACAACTTTCAAATCAAACGCAGTAGTGACAGGCGCAGAAAAATTTTCCACCAACCGAAAACTTGCAATACTGCGCTGTCATCATAAGCAGGAAGTGCTAGAGTTCGCAGCTCGGTTTTCAGCTGATAAGTGCGCAACAAAAACAAAGTGCAAAGAACCAAAAATAGAAGATTTCGAAATAAAGTGCAAAGAAAAGGAAATTGCAACAAAACAGGAAAGCTAAGTGAAAAAGTGAGTTCGACACTTAACAGGAACAATAACAAAAACGCGACATAAGGATAACAGTGAGCGCAGGTAGGAGTAGGCAGTCTACAAGCGCATCAAGTCTCAAGCAGCGCACAGGCAACTTGACGAGTGGACAGACAGATAGACAGCAAGGCGAAGTACTGACGGACACACAGCCAAACAGATAGCGCCAGCAGTGAGCGTGATTGTGCGAACGAAAGGAGGTAAATTACCACTGCAAACTCAACTAGAGTGTACAGCAAAAGCAAGGCGACGCCGTACTAGAGGCTAACAGTGCAACAAACACATATATATAAAAAAAAAAAAAAAAAATAAGAAGCAAAGAAAGGACGAAAGCCAAGGCAAGTAAGTCAGAAGTGTAGAAAGTGAGGCAAGTAAAAGAAGCTCTGCAGCAAGACAGCCCGGTTAAGGGGTGTAGAGAAATTGTCTGTAAGTAGCAAGCGACAGGTGAAAGAAGATCCTAACTAGCAACATAGCCACACTTACATACACACACAGAGAACGCGTGCGCATACACCAATACACAGGCTGCCCAGGAACAGAAAGACACGCAACGGAATAAAAGAAAACCTGAAAAGCATATAAAATATATATGCGAGAATAAAGCTAAAAATAGCCTACCAGCCAGCCAGGCAGTCGACCCAAAAGCGCTGTAAGCCAGCACACACACACACAAGCACAGCGAGTGAGCAGTGGGCGCGGCGACGGTGTGCCACAGTGTCGCAGTGGTTTGGCAATTTTAGTGGCAATAACAAAAAAAAAAAAAAAACCAAGTCGCAACTAAATTGGCGGAAAGGCAATATAAGCTGCGAGACTTTACTGCGTAGCTTTGGTGGAATATTAAAAGGAAAGACAAGAAAAGAAAGCAAATAAAAGGAACGAAAAGAAAAGCAAAACTAGTGAGTGTGTTAGTGTGCTAAAAAAAGCAATAAAAAAGACCAAAAAAAAAAAAAACAACAAAAACAGAAGTGAAGTGAAGTGACTAAAATTAGTTGAGTCTTAAACGTGCAGACTTTAACGGTATGCAAAAAAAGCTAGACAACAACCACGCGTCGGCTTAGTGAAAACGCACGAAGCTGCGTTCGAAAATCGGAAAAGCCGAAAATAGCAAGCAAGCGCGCTCTGAAAACTAATAAATTCAAATCAAAAGCCGCGCAGCACTATCCCCGTGTGTTCCGCAAGCCAGTTGAACCACATAAACGACGGCGCTGAGGTCAAAAGTCTGTGAGTTAGCTAAGCGTGTTGACATAGAGCCACCAGCGCAAAGGATCAGCAGCGCAAAGCTTCGCATAGCCGCAACACAAACACACAAAAGCAACAGTTTGCGTGTGGCAATTCGATTTTCGCCACAACAACAACGCTTAAGCGTGGTGAAAGTAAGTAAGCGGATTAAAAATAAATCTGTCCTCGTCGTGTGTGAGCAGTGCGTGTCGTGCTACGCTAATATAATATATAGCATCTATACGCACACGAAGTCTAAAACAATTGTACGAAGACAACAAAAATAAAGCGACTGGCATAGAACACGAAAAGGCAATTAGTTGGTAGCTAAAGTTAGACGAGACGCAGATTGAAGTGTGTGTAGTATAAAGGCGCAAATAAACATTCAGGCACGACTTGAAACGATAACTACAAAAACAGGAAAAGCAAGTGAGCAGCATAAACTTGGAAGACACCTAGTCGAGTTGCTAGCGTGGCGATCGGGCATGTGCAGCAACGAGTAAAGTGCGAAAGCAAAGCACATAAGCGCTGATAAGGCTGAATAGTACCTCAAGGCAACAGCAAAATACAATAACGGTACTAAAAATTGTAAAAATTAACTGAAACGCAAAGACACAAATGTGCGTAAAAAATAAAATTGAATAACATGTGAAATAAATTTTCGAAAAAATAAAACAAAATTTAAAAAAAAAAAAAAAGTGGAAAATAAAAAAAAAAAAAAAAAAAAAAAAAAAGTGGAAAACGATCAGTCAGTTTCTATCAGGAAAATTTAAAATATATTTCAAATAATTTTTCGAAAAATTTTTGGGAAAAATAAGCGTGGATAATATTATTGAAAAATATTTCAGAAAAATT